GTGCCTTAATCAAATTGTGCTTTTGTGGATGAGTGGGTTCCAGGTCCTTTCATCATTGGATCACTCACCCAGCACATGAAGGAGAGGGTGGGTACCATTACTGTTAATGTATCTCTTTTCAATCACAGTTCAGTCTAGCTATAGATGCAGAAATATCAAATATTTAGCATGGAGCATTAACAAAATGCTATAGTAGTTTTGTTTCTTTGGTTTATGCATTCTTCCTCTCTGCAACTGAACCTTTCCTTTGCTGTAGGCTATCCAGGAACAAATGAAAATCCATGGACAAGAACCAGTTTCTTTTCAAGATGTCAAGGTTAGTTGTCCCTGAAATATGTACAGTACTGTTTGGGCATAACTGTTATATTTGAATTCAAACATTTGAAAAGAGGTAATTAGCTGCATCAGGTAGTCAGAGAGAGAGTCAGCTGTGTTAGTCTGAAGTCAGACACACTAAGGAAGTATAGAGGTACAGTAAGCTTTTGTGAGCCACAGCTCATTTAAATTCAACTTGCACAGTACTGTCGTCTCTGGATGTGTGTAAGGTGGTTTTTCCTTTTAGAATGGCAGAGTTGATTTATGTTGTCACTAGAGTGACCTTGAAAATCCTCCATCATTCAACAATATAATTATTCTGGAAGAAAAAAAAAGAATAAATATCTGCTCTAAGACTTTCCTTGATAGAAGCACCTATTATAAACACACACAACTTCCACCTTTGGCTTGTGGAAATACTTGAGAATTTTTATTCGCTAAAATTGAAAATTAATTTGGAATCTTCTCTTTTTGTGATAAATGAATATTTCTACCTTAAGAACTATCAGTAATTAAAAGCATACTGTATTTTATTGACCCTACTAAGGCATAGTGTTAGCTAGTTATTCATAACTCTGGTTTAGAAGTCTTGAAATATTGGACTTGGGTATTGTTTAATGACAAGAAATTCCATAATGTGGATGAGATTTCTCTGGATTTTTTTTAAAACACCACCACAATTAAGGAGTGGCTTTGTGCTGCAGTTCTGAGTCCAACACGTTTTCTGTGGAAGAGTCGGACCTTTTTAGAAGGGCAGTGTGTTCATATGCCAGCTTCCCCCAGTGCGGAAAGCTTCAGAATTTCTTTCCTTATATTTTCAGCTCCACAAATAGCAGATAAAAACATTTAGAAACTAGTATTTAATAAGCCGCCTTTTAACAGATAAGTGTTTCATGACTCCAGATGGTATTGATTGTTCAAAAAATAGTCTGTATATGCTAGAGATATATTCATAGGCAAAACAGTGGTTGATTTGTTTTAATCTTATTTCCTTGTTATAGGATGAAATCTTTGATATGGTGAAGCCTAAGGATCCTTACAAGATCTCCCTTCAAGACTTAATCAATAGCAGTCAAGGAGATACTGTCACCAGCATTCTGATTGATCTGAATGGCTTCTGGACTTATGAAAACAGAGAAGTTCTTGTAGCAAGTGAGAATGACAATGCTACAGATATTGATGATACATGATTTTGAGCAGGAAATAGACTGTACCCCTGGGACATGCCTAATTGCTGTACTAAGTTATGGCAGCTGAAGACTAATTTCCTGTTCTGATGGATAATATAAAGTTTTGTGTAGGGATTGCCAAGATGACATTTGGAAGCCAAGATAGTTCACTGTTCAAAGCAACAATGACCTGACTTTTAGTAGGCTGAAGGTACTGTCTGGGATCATTCTTCTTATGTTCAGTTTTAAGTAACATTCTTATTTGGCCAGTCTGTTCTAACTTGTATAGTAACTTTGCAGCATAAGGATGGAACTTCAAGAACAGTCTGGCACTGACTTATCTCCCCACTTATAAAGCCACTGGGAGTCTTGATCAGCCTCTTCTTCCACTTATGTCAACACCGGGGGCTTTTGAGCATAAACACAGTGTATAAGAGGAGCTAGGGGTAAGGAAATGTGTTTAGGATTTTTTTTTAATCTACACGTAATGTTCTTCTTCTGTATTGTTCAACTTTAAATGTGTATAAATAAAAACATTAATTTTTGTTTAATGGGAAAGAAGACAGCTGGTGATCTAAAATGAGCGTACTGAAGACAAATTGGCATCCTCAGTAGAGACCAAGCACTGAATTGGTGCGAAAATCAAATTTGGTCTTGAGGTGAGAAAACTGCAGCGATACCAGCTTCAATCTGTTCTAAGCCAAATGTCTACACGTGGAGTTTGCATTAGTTTAGAATGTTTGATTGTGACTAAGAAAAAAACAAATTCTGCTAAACAAAAACAGTACAAGGCCCCTTGAGTACTTCTAATTAGGCTGTGTTTGACCAGTTAGTCCAATTGGTAAGACTTTAGCACAGGGGTAGGCAACATTTTTTGGTTGGAGTGCTGAAAAACCCACAATGCCTACCTTAGAAAGTGCTGGCATGCCAGAAAAACAAAGTGAAGGCAGGGGGTATGTGGCAGAATGCCCTGCTTGTGCCCCTTGCCCCCAGCCCAGGCTCCATGGCTATCAGCAGCTACCCAGAACCTGGACCAGCTGCAGCCAGGAGGCTGCAAACAGCTGCTGCTTTCCTGCCCCAGCCACAGCCCTAGCTGCCTCCCAGACCCAGCCTCCGGGGAAGCAGCAGATACTTAAGGCTCTAGGGAGGCAGGACATCCCTGCTGTGTTGCCCTCGCACACTGCACTCCCAGCCCTGCTGCCCTCCCGAGCACAGCGTGTGCAACCCAGAGTGGCAGCACACAGAGGGGAACGCACAGGGAAGCTGCCTGCTGCTGCAAGCTCTGCACTGCCCGGGTCACGCTTCCCCTGGGTGCATGGGAGCACAGTGGGCAGTACACAGGGTTGAGTCCCTCACCGCTGCCCCTGCCTGCAGGGTAAGTGTGGCCAGGGCAGTGGGGAGCTTGGAGTGACAGGCAGCTTTATGCCCCACCACTGTGCCCTGCTGTGCCAGGTTTCACATTACTCTGCAGAAGCAGTGGCAAGGGCAGCACAGCAGGGAGCATTGCTGGCATCTTCTGTCTCCCCAGAGCCCAGGGCTGGATCTGGGGCTGGGGCCAGGGCTAGGAGGCAGCAGCTGTTTGTAGCCTCCCGGTTGCAGCCGGCCCAGGTTCAGGGTACCTGCTGATAGCCACAGAGCCTGGGCTGCTTGCAGCAGGCCTTCTATCCTCCCAGCCAGCTGCTGGGAGGCTGCAAACAACTGCTGTCTCCTGGTCCTGGGCTCATCAGGGCCGGGGCTGTGGGCAGCACGGGGCTAGGGTTGGGGCTGGGGCCCACTTGCAGTGAGAGGCTGGGGCTGTGGGGCCAGGGCCACCCAGCAGCATAGGGCTGGGGCTGCAGCCAGGCTGTTGCTAGCAGAGCAGCACAGGGCTGGCAGCAGCACCGGGCTGAGGCCCATGGTGATGGTGCTGGCTAGTGCTGGGCCTGCGCAGGGCTGGGGCCTTCAGCAGTGCCTGAATGGGACTGGGTCCCACACAGGTCCACAGCCCTGGCCCCCTCCCGGCACTGCCAATGGCCCCGACCTGGCAGTGGCACTGTGCTGGTGCCCACAGTGGTGGTGAGGGCTAGGGCTAGGGCCAGGCCTGCCAGCAACTGGCACCACTGCTGCAGCTGGGGCCTGGGCCCAGCAGGCCACCGGGCTTATCCTGGCACTGGGCTGGGGCAGGAGGTGGAGGTGCCGGGCAGGGCCTGACCCAGCAGCGGCATGTGGCTGGGGCCAGGCCCCCCCAGCAGCACCAGGAAGGGGCTCCAGTTTCATCCCTGTGGTGCTAATCACCCCGGCCCAGCAGCAGCAGTGGAGATGCTGGCCAGGGCCGGGCCCACCTGCAGCGTGTGGCTGGGGCCGTCTGCAGCACCAAGATGGGCCCAGGCCCCAACCTTATCCCAGCATTGCAGACAGACCCAGCCCAGCAGCGGCACTGGGCTGGGGCAGATGGTGGAGGTGCTGAGCAGCGCCCAGCCCAGCAGCAGCATGTGACTGGAGCCGGGCCTGCCATCAGCACTGGGATGGAGCTCCAGCCCCAGCCTCATCCTGGTGCTGCTGATCGCCTTGGGCCAGCAGCGGTAGCGGAGGTGCCAGCTGGGGCCCGGGCCAGCCGGCGGCAGCACCAGAATGGGGCCGGGCCCGCCAGCGGCAGCACTGGGAGATGCCGACCGGGGTCGGGGCCTGTGCGGGTCCTGGGTCCCGGCCCAATCCCAGCACTGCTGATGGCCCTGGTCCTGGGAGGGGGGCGCTTGGGTTTGGAGACAGAGGCTCTTACCTGGTTGAGGTTGGTGGTGTTACAGGGCTGGGGTCCAGCAGTGGCAGGGGTTAGCAGCAGCACAAGGCTGTTCCCAGGCAGCCATGTGCTGCTCAATTTGGGCATGCCTCTTCCTGCCCCAAGGGGCGGGAAGCAGCCCATATGCCAATAAAAACCATGCCGCGTGCCACAGGTTGCTGACCCCTACTTTAGCATGTAGACAAGGCCTTGCCTTTGTACCCCTATGCTATGCAACAATACCGAAGCATATGGATGCAGCTTAGATGACTGTGCCACACTAAGTATTTCATTCCATCCAGGAAGAGCACACACCAACTGCTGAAGCTTCCTTAGCCTGACGAAGGGTTTTTGAACCTGAAAGCTTGCTTAATAACTATTCTCCAACCATTTGGGTTGGTCTAATAAAAGATATCAAATTCACCCAAGGAACCTTGTCTGCCTATGTCCTTAGATCAACATGGCTACAACCCAAACCCCTGCAACACTGTAAGTATAACACTTACAAGTGTTAAGTACAAGCAAACAACAAATACCTCACATGAAAAGGGCAAGTTTAAGGCCCAGGAGATGTGAAGGATTATTTCATGGATCAGGGAACGTAAGACTACTGAGTTTCAGTTCTCGTCTTAAGAGGTGGCTGTGCCATCATAGTGAACTGGATTTAACCAGGCATGCAAGTCCCTTGTGGGATCTCTGCCTATAAATACAGTGGTGCTTAACCTATGAAGAAAAATAATCAGAGCCCACTTAGTTTGAAATTATATTAAATATAAAATAACCAGTAATTTAATGCATTTACAGAAGTTAAAGTAACCACTTTTATACAGTTTACATAAACTGAAGGAAGGATTTAGGTATTAAGGCATAGTGAATCATACACCATTTCATACAAATAAGTTTAACTCATGGCAGTGAGAGCATTCCCTGGTCAATGCAACAGAAAGTACAAGAAAACTGACAGTAGTGCAGTTGATATTGATACGTTCCTGGCAGAAAAGGCTCAACACAGCTTCTCCCTCAGCAGCAGATCTTATTTACAGAAGTACTATGGGCCTTTGCCCTTAGAAGATACCACTTTGACAACTTAAGCTCTATTCAGTTTTTCTGTCCCTCCCCCATCTGTTTCTAAGGTGGGTTTTTCCCCCCGTCCATAGCTGACTGGATGTTTCTTGCACATGTTCACTGCCAAAGAGTAACAGTTAACAAACCAGCAGCATCCAATTTAGTCAAAATTTGAGAGAGAACAAACAGGGCCTCAAGGCAACAGGTTTGCTGGTTAGAATACAAGGAGAGGTACTCTTCCACTCTCAGCCCCTTTAGGCTGCTGGAATAGTATAAAAGGACCAGAAAAGACATAAGGTGCGCAAAAACTCTAGAGCTGCCTCAGGCAGTTATGGAATCTCAGATAAAGTGGGTGTACAGGAGTTGCTTACAGTACCATAGCCAAGGGAGACTGGCACAGGTTATGGAAGCCTCTAGGGACCAGGGAGTCGAAAATAAGTTGTCAACTCCATCTAGACCATACTGCTAAGATGCAGAGCATACAGAGCATTAATTCTTACTCAAGTGTCCTAAGAGTGTCCTAAGCTTTAGGAAACCTGAATAAAGACTAGGAGGTTTTCATTTAAATTAATTTTTAGTCACATGACAAAATTAGTGGAAGAGTATAGACCACACGGGATACTTTTTATGAACATTTTGCAGTGATGATGTCTGAGAGCCCTCCTAAAGCAGTCACATCTGATTGTCCTGACATAAACTGTTTCTCTTATAAGCTGGGATGGAAAGATGATTACTGTAGGTAACTGTTCTCCCCTTATTTGTTATTTACATCTAGTTTTTGAAACAGGAGCATTTCCAATACAAAATTGTAAAATTGGAAATGTTAAGACAGGCCTTGTCCTAATCTCACTTAAATAGCTTTTATAATAAATCCTCTCCCCTGAAATCCTTTCAAAATAATCTTAATTCTTGACTAATAGTCAGGTTTGGGGGTTTTTTTTATGGAAGCCATTACTAATATTGAAAATAAGCCTGTATTTTCTTTGATTTTCTTCTTCTTTTTTTAATACTTGAAAGAAAATGGTTACAAAAATGAATTCCTCACTAAGCTATTTTTCATGACATGCAAATATTCTATTCAGGTAACAATGTAGAGAATTTACAGCATCATTTAAGCAGTGCCTTAAGAAGTCACCCCTTACTGAGTCTCCAGTAGACCAAAATTAGTCAAATAGCACACTTTAGGTATAGGTAAATACTTTACACAGAATGTCTTCAAAACAATTTTTGACAATTGCAGCTTTTAATTCAAGCCCAGGAGTCCAATCTCAATTTACTTCCTAGAACCATTATTAGAGCCTATTGAGACTATGTATTTGACTGTCTATTAAACCTCTTCCTTATGAACAGTGAGAATGTGCTTTACACAGCTGATGCTAGTATGTACTGTTCTTTACCAGGCAACAGAATTAATCTGAGCACTGCTTACCTCCATGGCTGATGCAGAGTTAGCTGAGCAAGTTCTGAATAGAGCTTACAACCTCCTTTTATAAGAGGCAGTTTTTTTCATCAGGCACATGTGGAGCCACCTTTAGTTTAAAGCTTGTGACTAAGAAATAAATACATTAAATGGTGACAATAAATAGGGAAAGTGTGAATTTGGAAGTCATTAAGATACCTTGCGAAGCTATAGGCAATCAGTTCCAATTAGTCAGACAATCTATTCTTAGAGAACTAAGTTTCAACAATATTGTATAAGTACAAAACAGGCTATTAAAAAAGGTAAAAAATAGTATTCTGTCTTCAATCCACAGGTGTCAGAGGTGCACTACATGCTCAGTGAAAATACTAGGTGCACTACATGCTCCGTGAAAACACTAGAGACATTTTTACCTGCTGAATGGAAGATCAGAGCACTGCCTTTCAATTTGGATTGGATGTTTTGTAGTCCACCAGTTTCAATATACAGGTCAGTTTGGCAGACTTTCATTAGACGGATATGGACTGAACAGACATTACTTGGCTCTCTCCTGACCACTATGAGCTTTAAGAGTTTGTTCCTATGAACAAGTATAGAAAGAATTTTCCAACATCTTTATTGCCAGTTTAAAAAACTGGACATTTTACATTACATAGGAGACATATGTTTTAAGTAGGGACAGGAGTTAAGTCCTGTTTACTTTCCACAATAGATTGGCAGTCTCCCTCAGTTTCAAAATTGAGGTTCACAAATGAGCTACATGACGTTGCCTCAGGCTGATCTGTCTGGACAGGCGTCTCATCCTGTGACTTGTTCTGCTGATCTTGATAACGTCTCTCTGCTTCTTCTGACATTTTGTTCTCCTCCTCCTCCTCTTCCTCCTAAGAAAAGAATTCCACAGGTTCCAATTCCAGTAAATGTACTGCCTACATTTATCCCAGCTCCTTCAGCTTCTAAAAACATCTTTGGGCTTTCAAAAAAAATAAGAAGTATTTTTGAAAGAGGTAATCAAAGAAAGCAAAATATTTACAAGTCGGTGGTCTAGTCTGTCAATCAGTTACTTTTTTTTAGTCCCGCTTTTTGGTCTCTCTCAAAACTCAAGCTGAAGGGCTGAAGCTTTATACACAAGGCAACAAGATGTGTATAAACAGTCTGACTGGATAAACCAATTGTGTGTCAACAGCAAGTCTGATGTTTCTATGACCTTTTATATAAAACGTTTAAAAAGAGCACTTGAACTCTGTTATAAAATGCCAAATTGCCCATTATGTGCTTTGGAATATTACAATCTCAAGAGATCAAGAATTTGTCATTCTGAAAGTATTCACAGTGATATTTTAACTATGTGAAACAGGGCAGATCTCACAATTTAAAAGCATACATTAAAAACTGAACTTCCAGTTCTTGAGAGATTTACACCAGGTCTAGAAATTGCTCTATTTGAGTCTCAGGAAATGGATGTAGTGGTGACTAGTAGCCCATAGGGAAGTGAAGAGATTCTGAAAGGTAAGGAAGCCTGAAAGCTGTCTTTTAAAATTATTTAGAGAAAACTGAATATTAAGAGATGCAATTTATTTTTTCAAACTTGACAGTATAAAAAAAATACATACCTCCTTCTTCATCCTGTAATACTCATCGATGGCATACTGGTATTTTGGTGTACTTATCCCCAAAACAGATGCAATCTTTTCCCCAAGGAAATCACACACTGAAAATAGAGATAAAAGCCTTTATATGGAGTCTTTATATTTAATTTGCAGAATTCTTAAGGAAAGTTCTAACTTAAAAGATCTTCCCAAGATCTTTCCCTCGTTTATAGTGAGTTGTAACTACTTAATTTAATGGCAAAAATATCTATTCACCATTTATTCCAGCTTGTAGTGCAGGGCCAAACTAGCTGCGAAACCCTACCCCTTAGGCGTGGTGCGTCAAAGATACAGCCCATGGGCCTGATCTGCCCCATGGAGCCCCATCATCTGGCTCCTGGTGCTGCCCCTGGGTCCAGAGTTCACCCACATGCAACACCCCCTCTGGATGCATACTGCAAGCTGCACCTCCTGCAGCCAGTTCACAGTGGGTACCACATGCAGCATGGGTCCTGGACTGGCTGGAGTGGGCACTGCATGCAGCATAAGTCCCAGACTGGCCCCACAGGGGCACCCCATGCAGTACAGGCCCAGACCAGCCAGAGCTAGCACTGTGCATGCTGGATCTGGCACGGTGGGGGAAGGGAGAAGAGCAGGTCCATCAGCCCAATCTGGCTCATGGAGTGAACCACACACCATTTATCTGGGTGGACCACCCTGCTCATCTGGCCTGAGGGAAACTGTTTATTAAGTTCCAGTTAGTTTCACCTGTGCCCACAAAAACTGGAGTTGCACAGATGTCTGTCCCAGAAAGTAGAATCTTTGTGTTCAGTAACAGTGTGCAAAAAGAAAGGAATCCAGCTTGCAGCCAGGTCCCATTTGCAAGAGCAGCAGTTCAAGAAGCATTTTCTACTTTAAAAGTAAGCACATTTAATGTAGAAAACAGAAACAAGAACACAGAACCTCAGTGCCATTTTCAGAGAGGAAATGTACTTGAATGTGTAAATTCACTGAATGATCAGTCTCAACACACCATGTCTTTCATCTATAAAATTATGCACATAAATTTATTAACATATCTTGTTATCATAACTGTGCGCAGCTATTTGTAAAAATGCTGGAATGAATGAACATGCAGGAGACACAGGAAGTTAATGAAAAGAACCGAATAATATGAACATCTGACTGCAAATAAGCTACCTTTAATTTTGTAATGCAGCACTTCTGCTTTAATGGATCCCAGGGCAGAACAAAACAAGCCTGAGTATAAAGGTTAGATTTAAAATTTGCCCATCAACTGTCTTGATTAACACTTGCAGCCTACTAATGTGAAAGACTCAGAATGTATATACTGATAAATGCAGATTCTGGGCCAACAGCCATTTAACACTACGTACTCTATATTGCTGCCTTGATAAATAGTTCTTGATCTCCATCTTCACAGTTCACGTCACCAAAGGCTACCTTTTGCTTCCCTTCTAACAAAGGAACAGAACCAAGGCCACAATGCCTGCAGCACGGGGCACCACAGCCAAGGAAAGCATAAATTCATATACAACAGGACCATAAACTGCTTAGTTAATTAACATTCTCTGATTAAAGGAACTGAGAAACCAGCACCTGGATAATTCTTCAATGGAACATAGCACCAAGGAGGTAGAATTACACTTGATTTTAGCTTAAAAAGATAGGCTGTACAAAAGATACAATGGATTTCAGGACTGACCAATGAGTCACAAGTCAGTTCCTTCATAGCAAGATAGAACAAGCCTGCAGAAAGCCAACTGATACTCCTTGGACATCACCTTGGACTTACACATTCAAGTACATTTCCTCTCTGAAAATGGCACTGTGAAGTTCTGTGCTCTTGTTTCTGTTTTCTACATTAAATGTGGTTACTTTTAAAGTAGAAAATGCTTCTTGAACTACTGCTCTTGCAAATGGGACCTGCAAGAACCAGCAGCACACCTACAAGCTGGGGAACTCCCTTCCGCCAGCACAGAGGCAGAAAAGGATCTTGGAGTCACTACTGACTCAAAGATGAACATGGGCTGCCAATGTGGGGATGCAGTCAGAAAGGCTAACCACACCTTGTCATGCATCTACAGATGCATCATGAGCAGGTCCAAGGAGGTGATCCTCCCCCTCTATGCGACCTTGGTCAGGCCCCAGTTGGAGTACTGCGTCCAGTTCTGGGCACCGCACTTCAGTAGGGATGTGGACAACACAGAGGATCCAGAGGAGGGCTACTCGCATGATCGGGGGCAGCAGGGCAGGTCCTATGAGGATAGGCTATGGGATCTGAACCTGTTCAGCCTTCACAAAAGAAGGCTGAGAGGGGATCTGGTGGCCATCTATAAACTGGCAAAGGGAAACCAGCAGGCAATGGGAGAGTCCCTGTTCCCCTGAGCACTACCAGGAGTAACAAGGAACAATGGCCATAAGATGACAGAGAGCAGATTCAGGCTGGATATCAGGAGGCACTACTTCACTGTCAGGGTGGCTAGGATCTGGAACCAACTTCCAAGGGAAGTGGTCCTCGCTCCTACCCTGGGGGGTCTTTAAGAGGAGGCTAGACAGACACCTAGCCGGGGTCGTCTGACCCCAGCATTCTTTCCTGCCATGGCAGGGGGTCGGACTCGATGATCTGCTCGGGTCCCTTCCGACTCTATTAACTATGAAACCATGACTAGTTTGCCTTAAAATATAAATTAACCAATACCTGATAAGGTTGATGTAGCAACTCTTAACATCTGAAACCACAAATAGGGTCCCCAGGTAAGCGTTGTCTGTAATGATAATCATAACTTTTATTACACAAGACAGATTTATCATGCAAGAAAAAGAAACCATTAGGTACAGAGACAGAAATTATGCAGAAGTAACAGGAAAAATCTCTTGCCCTACTCCTTTAACCTAGACTCAGGTCTCAAAGATTTATTAAATTAGTTTCTCCAGCAGGCAGTCCGGACAGTTGGAATTATTCCTTAAGCACAGGAGTTTCTTAGACCAAATTTCTCCTCAAGAAGGATCACTTAAATACGTTGAAGAGGTATATCTTCATCTTTATTTTTCTATTCAATTTTCAGGGAGCATGTGTATTATGCAATGATTTCCTCCCCCTCAGACAGACTGTCAAATTAGGTTTCCTTCCTAATTCAAGATTATAATTCAAGGAGGATAACACTTTATATAACTTTGCATATGATTTAAGATAAAATTCTAATCATATTTTTTCTCAACTATTATTCATTTATTTCAAGAAAGTGAAAAATATGAATCTCTGCATGGGATTCCCTTCTTCCAAAGACCCTGGTCTGAGAAATGGGATTTCCTGTTAAGCGTTTTTTCCTCTGAAATGCAACTGGTTATTTTTTGAAGGTTAACCTCTACTCAAGTGAACGCCGAGAGTCTTGCCACTTTCGTGGCTGATAAAAATGCATGCCAGTTCAGTTCTAGGTTCATATTCTAGAGCAATGATTCTCAAGCAGAGTGATGTGGCACCTCCAGCTGCCCTGGGAAAACCATTCAGAGGTGTTGCGGGGTGCAACATAATGTTAGCACTTTTGGTGTGCAAACATGGTTCACAAAATAAACCCAGAGATTTCAAGAAGGAATCCAGTGTTAAAAAATACATTCTGACCTGTTGTGGTCTTTCTGAGTTCTTTGCAAAAGAAGAATTGCTCTGTTTTTTGGTTGTCAAAAATGAGTGGAAACTAAGAGCTGGCATTTTCCAAGAGGTGCCGAGTCTCCTGAGGGTGTCTCATGTCTTAAAAGGTCCAGAGCCACAGTTCTAGAGACTAGCCTTCACTCCTGTAAGCCAGGCTTTCTCTGAGGTGTGAACAGCTATGGTCTGAAGAGGAATATGTCTGATATCTGATACAGCAATCACATTCACTGCCCACTTTGATGCATTATAAAAATACAAGCTACAGTCTATGACAAAAAAAAATGATAAAACAGAGCATAGATTTAACACTAGCTATAAACAGACTAGAAGTGACACCATTTAATCCTCGTTTCCCCCAGCACCCCCTGGGATAACAAGAAATAACGGCCACAAGTTGTTGGAGAGTAGGTTCAGATTAGACATCCATAGGAACTACTTCACAGTTAGGGCAGCTAGGATCTGGAACCAACTTCCAAGGGAAATGGTGCTGGTCCCTACTCTGGGGGTCTTTAAGAAGTGGCTCAATGCCTACATGGCTGGGGTCCCTTGAACCCAGTTTCCCTCCTGCCCAGGCAGGGGGTCAGACTTGAAGATCTACAAGGTCCTTTCCGACCCTACTTCTATGATTCTATGAATCCACATTTAGGAAGTGTGTATGACACCAAGCGAACCCAAACCAACCCTGCAACTGGATATTATCCATGAAACGCACCCTATCCTTTGAAAACATCAAATGTTATCATCCGCTATCCCAGAAGATGATTCATATAAGTAGAGTGACCTTACACACTGCCTTGAAGGTTTTGAATTCTGTCAAACTAATCAGAAAAATGGAACTACGTTGTTCCCACCTCCAGATAGTCCCATCTCCTAACAGCCTTCCCAGATACGCATATAACTATAGCCATCAAGGCACCAAATGTCTGGATTCAGTCTAGCCTTTGGATTCTGTCTCAGTGGCCTAAAGGTGAGATGGAAGGTGTGGACAACTTCCACTACTCCATACTCCTGCCTAGCCATACATGTCAAAGGTCCTGGTGATCTCTCATGTATACACCATGACCTAGAAGGGTCCATGGTTGCCTACTACTCTATTAATAGCCTTCCATTTGTTATAGGGAACTGTTAGAAGATCAAATGTCAAGATGATTCTCAGGACAGAGGCAATCTCTAGCTCACTCAGGATTTGAACCTATTAGGGCTTTACAGATCCAAGTGATCACTGGTACAATTGTACTCAGAAGCACACGAGAAGTTAATGCACCTCGGAAACAGCTTCAAGTCGCTGGTACTACAGTCATCCAGCTAGTAGCTTCAGTTAGTGCAGGGTGCAGCAAGTTGTCATGAGTGCGAACAGCTACCCTGCCAGACAGTACTTCTGCCAGACAGAAGTACTATGTCTGTAACTATGTCTACAGAAAAATGAATATTACAGAGAAATATGGCATCTGCAAGACAGAGAGGACACTGACAAATGCCACTAACTGACACCTTGGGGGCATTTGGAAGTCCCGGAGTATGTCTACGTTTCTAACCTCACTGAGGAAGGATGGGTGCATCTTGTTTTCAGCGATTTTGTTAAAAAACATTTCCAATTTACAGCTAAGTTTAACCAGAAAGGCAAGAGACTTTCACTATTGGGAGAAGGCATATCTTCGGATTTACTAGAAAATGAATACAGATTTCTAATAAACAAAAGAACTTGTCTGAATACAGCCATGAAAGTCACCAGCTCATGAATTCAAATGAGGTTTCTTTCTTTATAAACTGTCAGTAGATGGACTTCCTGCTGGAAAGTAGCAGTAAAATAGCAGCTCCCACTGGGACACACCTGTACCAGACCCAATTATAGAGTTTTTTCAAACCCCTGACAAACACTGCTAAAAATAAGCCACTGGAAATTTTTTATTTCATATGTTCTTAATGAACAGGCATTTAACTATCCAAGATATCAGAACTAATCTCTCTATAGTTGTAAGACATTTTATACATGTGCACTAGATATTAGTGCTTATAAGACCTCCCTCCCCCTACCAGCACCTTATACAAAGCCAGCTTTTATCTTACCTTCAACATTTTGCTGATTGCCAAAAAATACATAGTGCCCAGCTTTTTTTTGCTGGAACTCAGGTTTCCAGTTGGCAAAGGATGTAGAAAGCATCCTGCCAAGGTGAAAAGCATAAGCAAAAACAGCTGCTGTCCTGTCTGCACAAAAGCGCCTCAAGCTTGTTAATTAAGTTCTCAGTTGGCAGCTGTTCTAACAGCAGTAATTTCTGGGCTTGTTTAGTTGCAGAAGTCAGTAAACTGTGTTAGAAAGGATGTTACTACAGGTGAGAGTAATGGCACTGACAAGGCTCTGCACAGTCCTTCAGAAAAACAAGGCAACAAGGTTAAAAAGCATTCACACAGCAGTCAGGACAAACAGTTTAGAAAGCTTTTGGTCAGCCACAAGAAAGGGTCTGCTTATACTCCTTTAAAAATATCCAAAAGAACTTAACTTTTCAATTTAACAGGAATGTAATAAACTAGTTAACATATTATTGTGGTGATGCAAATTCAGATACAACTTAATTGCACCTTGAATTCAGTGGTATGCACAGATTCTTTCAAATCCAACTATAACACAGTGCAGAACTACAAACTGAGTAAGCTAGAAGTACCTCTGGGGAAAAAAATGACAAAGTAACTCGTCACAGAGCCCTTGCTTCCATTACAAAATGAGCCCTCAAGGCAAGCACTGCAGCCTTCCCTGGGTCAAGAAAAAAAAAACAACTAGCCACCTCTATTTGAATCATTATATCCCACAATCCAAAAGTATCTCAAAGTAGAGAAAAAAAATTAAATAAGAGAGAAGCACATTCAACATGAAGAGGAAAAAAATGGTTTATGTGAAAGACTAAGAGAATGGAAAGCCTACATTTGGGTTAAAATCCTGCTTTTCTTTCCATCTTACTTGGTCCTTCAGTTTAAACAGTAAGATCTTCCAAATCTTCCTTAAGCTCTCAAAAACAATACAACCTAGGTGACAGAGAAGAGTAAGACATTTACTAGGAAACAGAAGCCTTTCAGAGTAAAGTCAGAAGTATTACTACAAAACAACTCAGTAAACCCTAATTTGAGCAAGAAACACCTCATTTTCTCACACACCACTTGCTCCTGGTTCAGATATGAACCTTGTTTTTGGAAGGCACAATGTAGAAATAAGTTTTTACAGTCATGACCAACTGTGTGATGCAGAGTATCCAGGAAGCGTGGCATCCCAGGAGACAGGCTGGGTGAGGTAGCAGGAACTTCCTTGTGTTGTAGGACAGCAACAAGGCTAGGTCCTAGACTCTTGCAAGACTGTTACTTTTTCACTGTAAATAGTTCTTTATACAAGTTCCTATAAACAAAGTGTTGTTTCCATCAGGGTTCGAATTACATTTTGACTGGAAGGGGGAGGGGGGTGCAAAAAAAAATTAAACCAGTTCATTGGAAAGAGCAATACAATCAGAGACCTCCCCCCAGTGATGATTTTCAAATCTTACGGGGGGCTCATCTCTTGGGGTGGGGCTCAGGCCCCCCAACCTCCCCCGTAATCCATCCCCTAGTTTCCATACCGCAAGCCTTCAAGATACCACAGACTGCTGCTCCCTTGCCCTGACCCATCTTGATTGCTGCTTCTGGCACACGCTACAGTGCTCAGCCAATAGTGGCTGTGAGGGGGTTAACACTTGACCCCACCCCTGCCGCTTGCTGAGTCAGAAAGGAGTGGAAGCCATTTTGGCAGCTATTAGAGCACAACACCTCCATGCTTCTGTTCTGGCAAAGAAAAATTTAATTCCCCACTTAAATCATGCTCTGCAATTTTGGAGGGTTGATTTTGCAGGGTAGGGGTGCATGGTATGTGAGTGACTATGGTAGCTATAATTTAAGAAGTAATAAAGGAAATACTTATATTGGCCCTTAAGCCAATATAAAATGGACATCCACAGAGTAAATTTCAATCTAGAAGTGCAACTGGGGCAGGGTAAGCAGGGCACCAGCCCCAGATGCTAACTCAGACGGGGTGCCAGAATCGCCCCCCTCCCTCCAGGGAGTCTTTGTCAAAGAAGGAGCAGCCTGCGGGGGAGGGCGAAAGGGAGGGTCAGCTGCCAGGGAGCCCAGCCACAGGGCTACTGCCACTGGAGCGGAGCAGAGGCTGCTACAGCAGCAGTGGCAAAGTCAGCAGTAGCCCAGGAAGGTAAGTCTTCTCTCTCCCCCCAACAGCACTCCCCCACCCCTCCACCGGTCTACAGCATTCAGCATACCCCCATGCCCCTCTCACGTGCTCGGTGGGCTCACTATGCTCCTGTTTAAATCCCCTATGACTAAAGAAATCTAGATGCTTTCACTAGGAGAATTGGGTCAAGATGGGAAAGTACTTTTTTGGTAATAGAATTTTCCAGTCTGTACTGAAAGACTGATTTGCAACATAAAATACATGCTCACATAAGTCAGATGAAGTCAAAAGGTACAGTTAAAGTATTTAACTACAGAAGGACTTTTTTTACATAACACAAGTTCTGTCAGCTTACCGCTGGTTATGAGGAATGATAGTTTCAAAACGCTCAGCATGGCAACAGCCAACTTAACTGGCAGCAGAACTGCAGATACATCAGGGAGACGAACCTTGCAATACTGCCTCTGCAATTAAAACCACTTCACTGTGGACTATGCTGAAGTCAACAGTTCGTTATATTACAAAGTGAACTACAACAAGGAACATCACTTAAATATATTGTTAGCTCTGTTATCTGAAAAACAGGAAATTGATAGGAGCTTATGAATTCCTGACCCCACCTATTCTTAAAAAAAAAAAAAAAAAGCAGTCATTCTGTTTTGGAAGGACAATGCAGTAGCAACCCTCTTGTCATGACAGCACATTGAGCAAGACAAGTGTAATTAGAAACCATAATGGACTAACTGACCTTTTAACTTGAAACCATGGAAGAGACCTAAAATCATTAGCCAAAATAAAGCTGAGAAGAACTCAATACATACAAGGAATGAATTTATCTTTTTACAGGTGGAGGTGGCATACCACAGAACTCCCATTTTTGTTGATCTATTCCAAGAGTGCTTCAGGGTTACTTTGCTTACAGGGAAGGGTACAGAGTCATTTTCAGTTTAGTTGCAAAACATTCAGCTTAATTATAATTTCTTTCCAATATGAAAAAAAAGTTACGTTTTCTTCAACTCAGCAGAGGACCTGTAAAGCTGCCAATGCCAGCTGAGCTCCAAAATTTTATGATGTAGAATTTCTATTCAAAGTACTAAATGTACCTTCACTCAAGATGCAATGGACCAGGAGGCATTATTATTTACAACATACTTTTTTTTGTATCCCAGCTGCAATAATGAGTTGTAGACACGCCAGTCTAAACTGACTATTTAATTGTGTGTATAGAAAACCTACAATACAAAACATTTTTAAAGCAGCTGTTTGCAAAAACATCATGGCTCAGCTTGGACTAGTATGTCTTCAATTCATTTACTCAGTTGGAATACATAAAAACATGCAGCAGATAACAGCAACCCTTGGTCTAGTTTTCCTTAAGTGAAGTTATAATGAAGCTTACTCTGTCAAGGTAAAAAGCAGTGAACAATAAGAGCATGTTGTGCTCTATAAGATATTCATATTTTTATTTAAAAGTTTAATAAAAAATAAGGATTACATAATAGCTTGGGACAAGGGTGGGGGGAAACAAATCTTAACTATGGCGCACAATGCTTCTCAATGCTCACAATGTATAACTAAAAAGCAGGAAGAACATCACACAGCCATTCAAATATGCAGGATTAACAAATGCTTTGATGTTGCTAAAAACCTAGTCTTTAGTGCCTTTCCTCACCCCAACGTAGATGGAGAGTGCTATTCAGAGAGATGCAATTACTGTCTATTGCACAGCCAACTGAACTCAAAAGAAGTCTTAAGCTGACTTTACAGAGGTTTTGATTAGACACTTAAGTGACTTGAAGGACTATACTGAAGAGCATGTCATCTTCTTGTATACCAAGTGGTGAGAGAGCAGTGCACCTATCCTCCTTTTTTGCATACAATGTGCTCTCCAATCATCATACTCATTCTGACATGGTCTCCTGCAGAACCAGAATAGGAACATTTAAGAAGAGATTTCCACTGGAGAAGATCTGAACTATAGATAACAATTTTGACTTCTTACTACTTGAATATTGCCACATTTGGTAATTTTGTGGCCTTGTTGAAAAAATATTCTTGCACTTCCTTCCATGGATTCCTTAACAAGAAAAAGGAGATGGGGAAGCTTAAGAACTGCTATTGACTTAGACATGTATATGGAAGTCTAATACATTATTGCTAAACCCATGACACTTACACTGTACAGGTTTTGCTGCTTATGCCATCTTACAAACATTGAAGCCATATTCTTTTTCCTCTTTCCCAAATGTACACTAACACGTCAGCTGAACAGTAACATACTCCAGACCCCACCTGCTCAATACTCATACTATAAATTTCCCCTGTAATGTGTGTTTATCCCAATATTTCCTTTCTGCAAAGCTTCACCTCTTGCTAGAATCACTGTTTAAGATGCCCAAGCTCCCATTCCAGTGTCTTCTGTTTAACTTTTTTCTCCTTTTTATCTAAGTTAACTCAACCCATGGAAAGGAAAAACCTGATTTATAATCCTTGCCCAACTTCCTTCAAATGCCATGGCAACAACACTTCTTCAGAAGGAAAGACAGAAAATTCGCACCAAAGCTGGGATCCTCTGTTGCAGTCCTACTAGCTTTCTTCACTAACATCACAAATCTCATGGGAGTGACAGGGTTATTGTAGCTACATGACAGTGATACAACTATGTGGCAAAAGCCTCTAATATGGCCTGTATAGCACAAGGCAGCATCATGCAAGTGATCCCCTCTGAGCTAGCTTTGCAGTTGCTACCTCTGGCAAGAAGACCAGTGTACCCTGGTTACCATGGTACTGCATCTGGACTAATTAGTTTTGCTGACCAGCTGTCCTGGTTCCAAAGTTGGCATATGAAGAGCTAGCTTGAGTACCTCTGCACAGTGCTGCCTTATGCCAGCTACAATCCAGTTAGTGCCCTGGCCACCACATTCATAAATGGCTTGGAGTATCTCTGCATGGCACTGTGCTGTGCAGGGCAGACACGCTTTGAATGACAAGAGCATGTACTAGCTGTCTCCAAGGCAGCAAGACAAACAAATGTGTTTTCTCCTCTCTCCACCTGCAGTCCCTGGGTTACAGACACAAAGAGGAATTTTCTTTTTAAACACATAGCACAAAACTGGCTCTAATACTTAGAACGCTCCCAATCCCATACCAAATCTCAGAATAAGGATCAGGAAAATGTATGTTTAAATAAAATGCCAACAGTGAACATCCTGTAGCCTAACTGCACCCTTTGAAATATTATTTGGTATTTTATGAAAGGACTCTATTTTCAACTGCTTTTGCAAGTCATTTACTTTTTTCTATTTCTGTGCTTGCTTATTATAATGAACAGCTGATTATGCAACTACTACACTGCAAGCTGAACTCCTCCAGTTCCAGTGCACATGGATTCCTTGCCTGCGATTTTGTAGCAGTGTAAAAGCAAAGGAGTGTCAAAGGGGTGTCAAACACATTTTCCTTGGGAGCACAGGTGATTCAAGAGGACAATTTTAGAACTGTAAAGATACAGGGCCCACTTGTTCAGCCTGCATGTAAACAGTGCTACCAGCTTTACTGGAACTACTCATGTAAATAAAGACAGCAGGAAAATATTTTTCAAATGTTCCTAATCCCCAAGAGGTTTTACAACAGAAAGTGATTTCCTGGAAGACCGAAGCAAAGAAGGAAGATCAGATACATCTGTGCTTAAACATCATTCTTCCAGTTCCTACAGTCATTTACCATAACTTGCAAAAATGTAATAATCAGATTTGAATTCAATAATTATTTTTGCACTTTAAATAGACATAAACGTAATCATGACTTGTCCAATACATCACAAATGTTGAATTAACAACAAACTTACAGGATCAATGGGAGGCAAGAGGTCTTTTTTCTCTTGCTCATCTTCTTCTTCGTCTGTGCTGTATTCTTCCATAGTTTCTCCACTTGCAAAGTGAATTACCCTTCTTGGAATTTTCTTCTTCTTCCCTATGATTCCCAATTCCACATTCTCAAAGCCTCTATCGCCATTTGAGTGCTGCTGAAAACCAAGAAAAGAACCAGTCTCAAACACAAGCTTCTGCAAGATGAACACTGAAACTGAAGAAGTGGTTTTCCCCAGACTTCACATACCTGTCAGCTCACTGATACCTCTGGGACTTCAGCTAGAGATAAAAGGATTCTCTTACAAAAAGGTGATGTGGCTGTAAGGCAACAATTTCCCAAGCTTTTTCAAAATGAATTCCCCACATCACAAAAATTATAGCAATCACATTCATTTCAAGTTTGCCATTTTTCTTTAAAAGCCTATACAAACTGAGCAATCACTCAGCTCAAACTGCTCAGACCTTAACAGGACAGGTCTTCTCTTGTTTTTATATACATTGTTCATTAACTTGCCTGCTCACCAGTGCTGACATTTAAAGTATTAGCTTCTGAATTAACATCCACTAAAGTAAATTAATCAATTCAGACCTCACAGCTGTTTCAAAGTCAGGCAAACACATCTACAACAGATCAATTCATTTAACATTTTCTAGGCTTCCTCTGTAACCCTGAAATCTAGCTTTAAAAAAAATACAGGCTGAAAAACTGAAGAATAATTAAGAGGCTGCCACGCTGCTCGGGTACAATACCCTTGCCCCGCTCCCCCCAGTCTAATCTTTCATGCCCAATTCACAGTGAATGAGAAGGCCCACAGCCCACAGTTGGGAAAATGTGCAATGAAACACAAATCCAGATAGCTACGAGTGTGCAATCTATATTATTTGCAAAGAAGAATGGATGTTAAAGACTTCCTTGTTCTTCCTAACAAACTCTACTTCCTCAACAAGGTTTTTGAAGCCTCCTGTAGTGTTCTATAGAGTTCTGCTAAACAAGCTACAGAACTAAAACACCAGCCAGTAGCAAAAAACTTAATAAGGCAGCTGGATGAGTTGAAATCAGGGAATGGCTTAGGAGGAACCGAAGGCAGTGGACATGCATGTTATGTGCAGGGATCTGGGTTTTCCATTTCCCATGGGAAAAAGGAAAACACTATAGATTTCCCCTTTTATCCCAGAAAAATGCAGATTTTTCATTTTAATGGAGAAACCTGCGGATTTTGCAGTTTTGCAAACTGCTCTCTGCCGGCTGGCAGAGTTCCAGCCTGCAAGGGGCTGGGGGGGAAGCAGGAGGATGGCAGGGGGCGGAGCCTGGGGAGCAGCCTATCAAGCAGCCTGGAAAGTAGCTCCTGCAAGTAAGTCTGGTGGGGGGGAGGGGGGATTAAGGCTCCCATATTGAAGAAGGGAGGGAGTTGGGCAGGGCTGGAGCTGCTGCCCACCCTGGGTAGCGCGTGAAGCTTGGGAACTGTGGCTGGAATGCGCAGCCACAGGGCCCCAGCAGGGTGTGGGACAGGGCCACAGGCAGCTCATCGGGGGAGGGAAGCGACCAGTTCCCCACTCCTACACACACTCCCACAGGGGGCATAAGGGACCCATGCCACCCACATCTGTGCATGAGGTGGGGGTGGGTGCAGGCTACCGGCTGGGGGTTCAGACTCCCCCCCCTGCTGCTCTCCCCCAGAGCAGCCGAGTGGGTGGCACCTGCTGCAGAAGGGCAAAGTGGGCTTGAGCAGGGAAGCTCCTTACCACTGTAAGACCCACGGCACCCTAGTGAGGCATCCCCTGCCTACCCCACAGCAGCACGGGCAGCAGCACAAAGTTGTGTCTCTTGCTGCTGCCAGAGGCAGGGGACGCATCGCCAAGACAGCATGGAGCCCAAAGTGGCAACGAACTTCCCCGCTCAGCCTCGCTTTGCCCTTTATTTATAGGTATGTAGCATTTATTTTATTATAGTGATTGAGGCACTAGCAGGCTTCCAAATCACTTTAAAGTTGTAAATATATCAATAAAACATTGTGTTCAATTGATACATATACTGTACATACATATACATAGACATATACCAGGCACAGCTGGTGAACCCAGACTGGTGGGGCAGTGGAACGTCCCATGAGAGCAGGGGGCTGGGTTTGCAGCCAGCCGGGAGTGGAGGGGTTGCAGCCAACAGCGGGGAGGCTGCAACCCACCCCCCGCGCCTGTGAGATGCTCCACCACCCCACCAGTCTGAGTTCACCAGCCACTCCTGACATATACATAGACATATACATAGTGGCATTTCATTTTAATCACAGATTTCGGGGGTTTATCAGAGAATTTGCAATTTTTAATCAGAGTATTTGCGGGTTTTTTGTTTTTTTTTTTAATCAGAGAAAACCAGGAGCCCTGGTAATGTGCTACTCCCAGAGAGGAGGAAGGGACACTGAGGTCTTGTGCTACATTTAGTGTGAACAGGGAGGTCAACCCAGTCTTTATTTCCAACCCCAGTAGCAGAGCTGCTCCACAAGATCCCAGGTATTCCCAATGCTTGCTGCTGCTGCTGTTTTGATGGTGTTGTAGAAGTGGCTCTTTAAATTATTCCTGATTAGTTATTAGGGCAGGCCCCCCAAGTTCTCCTGAACACAAGCAAGAGAAAGGAAATGGCAATTTTTAACAGTTTGAAATTCAACTGAAGTTGAATGCAATTTCATGGGGAAAAGAAATAGCATTTCTTTTGCCTAAAGTCATTCTCTTTGCCAAGTTTCAAAGCCCTGCTGGCAAACCAAGGAGGGGCTGGAGCTTCTCAAAAAAAGCCTGTCAGAATCCTTTTGAATGGTAGGTTAGGCAAGCTAAAATCTCAGGGTTACTACCATGTTTCCCTGTAATAAAAAGTGTCAGCCACATAACAGTAGCTCTGTCTCTTGGACTAATGTCACAGAACTAGCTTCGTATGAACTATTTTTTATGTTATTTTTCTGGCATGATACAATGATTCCATTTTTAATTGTTTTATCCAGTAGATAAACAGCTACTGAAGAGCACTGTTTCTTAAGAGCCACTATCACAAATATTGTGGTAAACAGTATAAGCTTGTGCCAGAAGTCTCTTCTGACTTTTGGCACAAAAGTCGAATACTTTACATTTCCTATCTATATTTAGCATAATCTATATGGACCACGTCTATATGAAAAGGTGACAAAAATGAGCTCTAATTCCAGGGCTGTTGGAACTGTACTTTTCAATTCCACAGTCTCACGCATAAGAAATACCAAAACAGAATGGAGAGGGTTCATGGTTTAAGAGCATATATAGTAGTTCAAGCAATTTGCTGGAATAAGGTAATGCAGAAGTCAAAGCAATGAGCAGGTAAATAAAGAAATAAATAATGTATTTTAGCAATCATATTATATGGGTGAAATTATTTGATCTGTATCAGAGAGGAGATTAGACTCCCCTGCACCATGGAACAGGTAGATAACATCTAGTTTGGCTTGTGACAGTCAGTTGATTTTCCTGCTAAAGTTATATATAAAAATCAAGCCAAACCAGATGTTATGTACCTGCTCCTGTTCCATGATCAGGAGCAGGTACATAGTTTGATCTCCTCTCTAATATATATCATTAAAAAAAAAAAAATATATATATATACACACACACACACACACACACACACACACACACACACACACCCCTCCATCTATTAATGATTTTAATGAACTCATTTTAATGAATTAATGATTTTAATCATTCAGTAATGCTTAATTATTTTTAATTTTACATATTATCTTAACATTATTGTAATGATTATTTTATTTTTATGACTCAAAAGGATTCTGACAAACTTTTTTGAGAAGTTCCAGCCCTTCCTTGATTGCCCCTCCTCTCTCTATATATATTATTTTAGCAAGACAGACACCTGACCGTCACAAGCCAAACTAGATGTCATCTACCTGCTCCTGTTCCATGGTGCAGGGGAATCTGATCTTCTCTCTCATATAGACCAAATAATATCACCCATTTCCAGAACCCAATAATGTTTTGACTGCAGGTGATTCCCACAGAAACATCCAGTCTTTTCTGAAGACCTTAAGTGATGGAGAATGCATCACCTTCCTTGATAATTTGTCCCAACAGGAAAACATACTAGCTCAGGTCCTATAAGATACCTGTTACACCCCAGCTGATACTTGGGTAAAGGCAACTGAGCTGTCACAGTAATCAGATGCTATTAAGATCACAATCCTGTAAACACTTTTTGCATATGCATACAAATAGCCCCTTAGAGTTCAATAGTATTAGTCATGTGTCTAAAATTTCTACAAAAGGAATCACTAGTAGGATTGGTACCTTAATGTGTACCTGAGTCGATCAGTATTTGACAAAAGTAGTTACCCATGGAGTTTACAACAAAGTTATCTTCATAGGTGGAGGGAGAAAAACATTTTTGGGGGTGTATGAGTGTGCATGCGCATATCCACCCTAGCAGGTAAGTCTGTGGGGGAAGGGGTGGGGGAGGGGAAAGGGCTGTGGTGGGGGCAGATTGAGGCCCCAGTGGTAAGGGAGGGAGCAGGACACAGGCAGGAGCAGGGGCTGCGGTGAGTGGGGCCCTGGCCAGGCCAGGTGGTAGGACAAGTGGAGGCCATGTCCGTCCGTCCATCGTCATCACCCCCCCCAATCTGTGCATGGAGTGGAGGCGGCTGTTGCTACGTACTGGGCTTTGAGCCCCGCTGCCCCGAGGGCCATGCAACGCTACGTGTCCCGCCACTGGGTGTGCGGGGGGGTGTGGTGCAGTGCAGCGTTGGCAGGCACATGGCGTCGGCTGCTCCCAGGTCGGCTGCAAAAGGGAGCAAAGCAAAGCGCTGTTGACCTTCCCCCATCCCACGGCAGTGAGGGAGGGAGTGGGGCTGGGGCGGAGGCAGGCCCTGCATAGCCAGAACGCAGGATGGAGCTGCAAGCAGCTTGTCCAGGGGGCGCCTGGCGTGAGGAGGGGATGGCAGCTCTCACTACTGCATGCACCCCAGAAGGGCAGATCTGCGCATGGGGCAAAGGCAGGCTTCCAGTGGTAGGACACACACGGCGTTGGACTCACACTGCTCTTGAAGCAGCAGCAGCGAGGAGCAGAGCAGATCCCAACCTGCAGCAGCAACCCACCTTCACCCGGCGCAGAGATCGAGGGGGTGGGGGGTACATGCCCCACCCTTGGCTCCCCTACAGCGTGTGCAGAAGAGGGAACCCCCCCACATCCCTGGATGCACAGCTCCCTGAGGCCCCCAGGACCACAGTTAAGGCTGCTGGGGCACCCAAGCTAACCTGCCACATGCCAAAGTGCACATGGCATGGGCATTACCTGGGAATAAGAAGCAGTGGTACAGAGTGTGCTGCTGCTACTTGTCCCTGGGGAAACAAACATTTACACTAGTCTGGACATGGCCAATAGCACAGAATTGTTTTCAACGCTATGGTTTCCTATTTAAAATCTCTAGGTTTATCTTGCAAATCATGCTTACATACCTAACAATGTATGGCACCTCACAGCACCTTTGAAAGGATCTCAAGGTACCTCAGGGTGCTGTGGCACCCTGGTTGAGAATCTCTGCATTAGCTTAACAACTGGACAGGAAATAAATCTAGTAAATACTCCATCTGTAAGAGAGATTAGTCCCATTTGCATTAAAGGTACTGTTGCAGCACTAGGAAATGTCCTTCTTTTTTTTTTTTTTTTTTTTTTTTAACAATTCATAGTTTCAATAATTTTGCTGCTAGCAGAATTTACAGAACAAATCACTAAGTTTGCATACAGCGA